CATGGTTTAAAATCAAGAAGGGAGTGCGTTAGGGTTGTATCCTTTCACCATACTTATTCAATCTGTATGCTGAGCAAATAATCTGAGAAGCTGGACTATATGAAGAAAAACATGGCATCAGGATTAAAGGAAGAATCATTAACAACCTGAGATACACTGACGACACAACTTTGTTCGCTGAAAGTGAGGACTTGAAGCACTTATTGATGAAGATTGAAGACTACAGTCTGCAGTATGGATTACATTTCAATATAAACAAAACAAAAATCCTCACAACTGGACCAATAAGCAGCATCATGATAGAGGGAGGAAAGATTGAAGTTGTCAAAGATTTCATATTGCTCGATTCTACAATTGACGCTAATGGAAATAGCAGTCAGGACATCACATGATGTATAGCACTGGGCAAATCGGCTGCAAAGGACTTCTTTCAAGTGCTGAAGAGCAAAGATGTCTCCTTGAAGACTAAGGTGCACCTGACACAAGTATGGTATTTCCAATTGCCTTGTATGCATGTGAGAGCTGGACAATGAATAAGGAAGACCTAAGGAGAGTGGATGCTTTTGAGTTGTCATATTGGCAAAGAATGCTGAAAGTACTATGGACTGCTAAAAGAACTAATAGGTCTGTCCTGGAGGAAGTGCAGCTGGAATGCTCCTTGAAAGCGAGAATGGCTAGACTTCATCTCAACTACTTTGGTCATGTTATCAGAAGGGAACACATTCTGGAGAAGGATGTCATGCTTGATGAGGTAGTGGGTTGATGAAAGAAGAGAAGGCCCTCAACGAGATGGATTGACACAGTGCCGGCGGCAATGGGCTCAAGTTTAGCAAGGATTGTGGAGCTGGTGTGGGAACAGGCAGTGTTTTTGTTCTGCTGTGCATAGGGTCACTATGAGTTGGAGAAGACTTGACAGCACCTAACAACACATCAGACAGTGTTTCACTGCTATCCATAAAGTTTTCACTGGCCAATTCTTTGAGAAGTGGATGGCCCCTTCCTTCTTCCAAGACTCATTTACACCTGTGATATGCAGATGACACAACTTGGCTTGCTGAAAGTGAAGATGACTTGAAGCACTTACTGATGAAGATTAAAGAATACAGTCTGCAGTGTGGATTACACCTCAACATAAAGAAAACGAAAAGCCTCACAAATGGACCAATATACAACATCACAATAAATGGAGAATACACTGGCATTGTCAATGATTCATATTACTTGGTTCCACAATCCACACCAATGGAAACAGCAGTCAAGAAATCAAATGACATATTGAACTGGGCAAATCTGCTGCAAAAGACCTCTTTAATGTGTTGAAGAGCAAAGATGTCTCTTTGAAGACTAAGGTGTGTCTAACCCAAGCCATGGTGTTTTCAATTGCCTCATATGCATATGAAAGCTGGACAATGAATAAAGATGGGTGAAGAAGAATTGATGCTTTTTAGTTGTGGTGTTATCAAAGAATACTGAAAGTACCATGGACTGCCAAAAGAACAAACAAATCTGTCCTGGAGGAAGTGCAGCCAGAATGCTCCTTGGAAGCAAGAATGGCCAGACTTTGTCTCAACTACTTTGGTCATGTGGTCAGAAGGGACCATTCCCTGGAGAAGGATATCATACTTGGAAAAGTGGAGGGTCCGTGAAAATGGGGAAGACCCTCAACTAGATGGATTGACACAGTGGCTGCAACGATGGGCTCAGGTATGGCAAGGATCGGAGGCTGGAGCAGGACCGGGCAGCATTTTGTTCCATTGTGCTATGGGTTGGAGCCGACTTAATGGCCCCTAACAATGACAACAACATGGTGACCCACATGAGTCTCTGAGTGGTACAAACGGTTCGTGCACTTGGTTGCTAATTGAAAGGTTGGAGGTTTGAGTCCACCCAGAGGCCCCTTGGAAGAAGGGACTTAC